TTATCACTCCTATATGCATACCCAAGAGATTTGAAAATGTATGTCCACAAAAACTCATTAAAGAATGTTCATAGAAGCATTATTTATGATAACCGAAAAATGAAAGCAACCCAAACATCCATCAACTGATGAGTGGCTAAACAAGAGTGGCATATTTATGTAATGAAATACTATTCAACAATGAAAAGCAATGAAGTACTGATTTATGATGCACATAGATGAGACTTGAAAACATTACATTAACTGAAAAGCCAGACACAAAAAGGCCCCATATTGTATGATTCTATTTATATGAAATGTTCAAAATAGGCAAATCTGCTGAAAGTAGATTAGTGGGTGCCAGTGGGTGGGAGGAGAAGGGATAGAGAGTAACTGCTAATGGGAATGGTGTTTCTGGGGTGATGAGAGTGTTATGAAATTAGATAATGGTGAGAGTTGCATAACTCTTTGAATATACTAAAGCCACATTTAAAAAAAAAAAAAAAAACTAGTGAAGTTGTTTCAAAAGCACTCAGAAGCCAACTTGAAGATATTCACGGACCTAAAATAGGAGACAATTTGAGCCTTGGTAAGGATAATAACTATAGTGTATATGCATCAAATATGCTTAAATCTATGAGTTAGTAATGACATCAAAATGTATATAACCTAATGACTTGTTATTTTGAAAACTGTTGATAAAAAGGAAGAATTAACCATTTATCCTGCCTTTTCTGGATTATCTGTGCCTCAATTCATGCAAAAACTATTTGGTTATACCTCACTGTAGGTAAATATTTAATGTAAGGAAATTTCTCTTCCCAGAAGTATAAGCTTATAAACAAATGAAGAGTGATGGAATTTAAAAGGCACTTTTGCTACCATGATAAACTAATGTGTTTCAACAATGGTCATCAGTAACCTCTATCATCACCAAAAAGAGAAAAGAGTTTTATGTACCTATGTATGTGTGGACTAGTAGTTTCACCAAAACAGAGCCTAAATCTAATGAAGCCCCTATAACTACCAAATTATAGAAAACAGAAGAAAGAACGTGTTAAATAGCACCATAGGGATGCAGTGAGTTAAAATCAGACTCTAAGTAACTCTATAGGACACATACACAAAAAATTACAGGTATACCTCAAAGATATTGTGGGTTTGGTTCCATACCACTGCAGTAAAGCAGATATCATAATTGAGTTGCACAACTTGACTTCTCAGTGCATATGAAAGTTATGTTTACCCTACACTGTAAACATTAAGTATGTGATACTTATTAAGTATGTGATAGCAGTATGTCCCTAAAAATCAATGTGCATATCTTAATTTTAAAGTGCTATACTGCTAAACACTGCTAATGATTATCTGAGGCTTCAGTGAGTTCACAGCAACTTTTTGCTGTTGAAGGGTCTTGCCTCTATGTTGATGGCTGCTGACTGATTGGGATGGTAGTTGCCAAAGTTTGGGGTGGGCGTGACAATTTCTTAAACCAAGACAGCAGTGAAGTTAGTCACATTGATTGGTTCTTCCTTTCATGAAAGATTTCTCTGCACCATGCAATGCAGTTTGAGAGCATTTTACCCACTATAGAGTTTCAAAATTTGAATCAATTCTCTTAAACCCTGCCACTGCTTTATCAACTAAGTTTATGGCATATTCTGAATTATTTGTTGTCATTTCAACAATATTCAGATCTTTACCAAGAGTCCATCTCAAGAAACTAATTGTTTATCCATAAGAAGCAACTACTCTTCCACTGAAGTTTTCTCATGAAGTTGCAGCAATTCAGTCACATATTCACACTCTTCTTAAATTAGTTCTCTTGCTATTTCCAATACATCTGTAGTTACTTCCCCACTGGAGTCTTGAGCCCCTCAATGTCATTTATGAGGGTTGGAATCCATTTCTTCCAAACTTCTGGAATGTTGACATTTTCACCCCTCATGAATCACAAATGTTCTTATTGGCATTCTTTCCAGTATATTTTCAGTTTACTTTTCCCAGATTCATCCACTATCTATAGCATCCAGAGCATTATAAAATTTGTTTCTTAAATGTAAAACTTAAAAGTCAAATTTACTCCTTGATCCATGGGCTGCAGAGTGGATACTGTGTTAGCAGGTGTGGAAACAACATTTATCTCTTTGTACATCTCCATCAGAGCTCTTGAGTGACCAGGTATATTGTCAATGGGCAGTAATCATTTGAAATGAATATTTTTTATTCTGAGCAGTAGGTCTCAACAGTAGGCTTAAACTATTCAGTAAGCCATGCTGTAAAAATGTGCTGCTATTCAGGCTTTGTTGTTCCATTTATAGAGCATAGGTACAGTAGATTTAGCATAATTTTTAAGGGCCCTAGGATATTTGGGATGGTCAGTGAGCATTGGCCTCAACTTCCAAGTTAACAGCTGCATTAGCTCTTTACAAGAGAGTCAGCCTGTCCTTTGAAAATTTGAAGCCAGGCATTGACTTCTTCCTCTCTAGCTGTGAAAGTCCTAGGAATCTTTTTCTGTTAGAAGGCTTTTTTGTCTACATTGAGAATATGTTGTTTAGTGTAGCAACCTTCGTTGATTATCTTGGCTAGATCTTCTGGATAACTTGCTACAGCTTCTACATTACTGCTTACCTTGCACTTTTATGTTACAGAGACAGCTTCTTTCCTTAAACCTCGTGCACTAATCTGCTAGCTTCAGACTTTTCTTCTGTAGCTTCTTTGCCTCTGTCAGCCTTTTAGAATTGAAAAGAGTTAAGGTGTTGCTCTGGATTAGGCTTTGGCTTAAAGGGAAAGTTGTAGCTGTTTTGATCATCTATCCAGACCACTAAAACTTTCTCCTTAACAATAAGGCTTTTTCGTTTTCTTATCATTTGTGTTCACTGGAGTAGTACTTTTAATTTCTTTCAAGAACTTTTCCTTTGCTTTCACAGATTGGCCAACTGGTACAAGAGGTCCAGCTTTTGGCGTGGCTGACTTTTGACATGCCTCCCTCACTAAGCTCAGTTATTTCTGGTTACTGATTTGCAGTGAGAGATACGCAATTCTTCCTTTCACTTAAGCACCTAGAGGCCAGTGTGGAATTCTTTTTTTTTTTTTTTTTTTGAAATGGAGTTTCACTCGTGTTACCCAGGCTGGAGTGCAATGGCGCGATCTCGGCTCACCGCAACCTCCGCCTCCCGGGTTCAGGCAATTCTCCTGCCTCAGCCTCCTGAGTAGCTGGGATTACAGGCACGCACCACCATGCCCAGCTAATTTTTTGTATTTTTAGTAGAGACGGGGTTTCACCATGTTGACCAGGATGGTCTCGATCTCTTGACCTCGTGATCCACCCGCCTCGGCCTCCCAAAGTGCTGGGATTACAGGCTTGAGCCACCGCACCCGGCCCAGTATGGAATTCTTAAGTGCTGCAATCTCAATATTGTTGTGTTTCAGGGATAATTGGGAAGCCTTTGGAGCAGGAGTAAAGTTGGGGAATAGCTGATCAGTGGAACAGTCGGACAACATACATTTATCATTTAAGCTCATCTTATACAGGTGCAGTTCACCATAGTAGATGTAGTAATAATGAACAAGTTTGAAATATTGTGAGGATTACAAAATGTGACACAGAGACACAGAGTGAGCACATGCTGTTGGGAAAATGGCACTAATAGACTTGCTCCATACGAGGTTGCCACAGACCTTCCGTTTTTTAAAAGGTGGAGAAAAAGGCAGTATCTGCAGAGTGCAGTTTTTTAAAAACTGAATACGTAAAACAAGGTATGCCCTTACAAAGTAAAATAGAGAAAGTAGCCTGTAGTAGAGACATGTCTTCCAATTGCAGTGCATGGACTGTATTTAGAGCTCAATTTAAACAAGTGTAAAAAAATTTTTAATGTGATTCTAAAGTAATAGTTATAGTCCAGCTAGGAAAATAGGACCACTGAACTACATATTTGCTGAAATTAAGAATTATTAATTTTTTTGGCATGATAATACTGAATAGGTTATGTTCTTCTTATATTTTTAAAATATATACTGAACTGGCCGGGTGTGGTGGCTGAAGCCTGTAATCCCAGCACTTTGGGAGGCCGAGGCGGGTGGATCATGAGGTCAAGAGATCGAGACCATCCTGGTCAACATGGTGAAACTCCGTCTCTACTAAAAATACAAAACATTAGCTGGGCATGGTGGCACGTGCCTGTAATCCCAGCTACTGAGGAGGTTGAGGCAGGAGGATTGCCTGAACCCAGGAGGTGGAGGTTGCGGTGAGCCGAGATTGCACCGTTGCACTCCAGCCTGGGTAACAAGAGTGAAACTCTGTCTCAAAAAAGTATATATATATATGTACTGAACTACAGACAAAATAATGCACTAACAATTAGGATTTGCTTAAATATGGGGGAAAGGAGTGACTACTAAAGGAATAGCATGAGGGAGTTTTTCTGGATGAACTGTTCTGAATTGTGTAATACTAATCACAAATCTGCTATATAACTGACACCAAAAGGGGGAAAGGGATCAATTTTATGGTATCTTGATATTTTTAATAAAATTTTAAAATTCATATTATAGGAAGAATGAATAGAATAGATGAAGTAAGTGTGTCATGACTTGATAATATTTGGAGCTGGGTGATGGCACAGAGGTATTCATTATACCATTCTGTTCACTAAAAATTCCTATCTATAATTATTTAGAATATAATGTAAAAGCTTAGAATATTTGAAATCATAGATGGCAAATTTAGGAAAATAACTTTGAAATGAAGGTATCCTAGTATTGCAAACTTGCTTAGTGTAGTGGAATGTAATTGGACAAAGCTGTAAGCAAATGGAAGTGTTATGATTAAACGTATTTTATATCATATGAATATATATGTGAAGTTATTCTCATAAAGCTTTGTATTTTATTGTTGTTGTTTTTTAGGATGAGAGAGGCTGCAAGAAAAATAGAAGAAAGGCATTTTTCCAACCATGCAACACATGTTGAATTTCTGCCTGTTGAGTGGCGGTCAAAACTTACTCTTGATGGAGGTATGTTTTGTTTAAAACTTTAATGATTTAGCCAATAGCAAACTTTGACCAAAGTAAATGCAGAAAGTTTTAAAAAACACTCTTTGTTTATTCAGGACATAGTGTCTTCAGTTTAATTGTCTTGAAATATACTCTTTGTTCTAGATTATTTAAGAAAATAAAATCCATCGATTTATAGAATAATTATGATGACTTATATCATTTGGACCACGATATAGATTTCATAGATAGTACTCTTTTCATGCATGCCCTCTGGATTATGAGGGCGGGTGGAGGGACATAGCAGGAACAGAATGTTTTCTAAGGTTTTTTTTTTTTTTTTTTTTTTGAGACGGCGTTTCACTCTTGTTACCCAGGCTGGAGTGCAATGGCGTGATCTCGGCTCACCGCAACCTCCGCCTCCCAGGTTCAGGCAATTCTCCTGCCTCAGCCTCCTGAGTAGCTGGGATTACAGGCACGCGCCACCATGCCCAGCTAATTTTTTGTAGTTTTAGTAGAGACGGGGTTTCACCGTGTTGACCAGAATGGTCTCGATCTCTTGACCTCGTGATCCACCCGCCTCGGCCTCCCAAAGTGCTGGGATTACAGGTTTTCTAAGGTTTTTAACACTAACTTGATTTGTCAGTACTTTAAAAATATTTGTTGACCACAATTGCATGCAAACTTAACAATTTTATTTCTAATAATTTTCCTCCCATAATTGGAAGATTAAAATCTCAGGTTTTTTGTTTTCCTTTGTTGTTTTTCATACATTCACTGGGCTGGTGAATTACCAACTAGCATAGAGAAGTTGTACATTTGTTTAAATAAGATCAGTTTAGTTGTCATCCTTAAAGAGCTATCAGCCAAAATATGTCTTTCTTTACACAAAGTTATGTCCCTTAAATATTAAAACCATAAAAACAGAATGTTTAGATTATTAACATAATCTGCAAAATTAGAGAGCTGTACTGAATATAGTAGCAGCTGCCATTTGCTGAGCCTTTTGCTGTGCCTTTTGCTGTTGTATTGCCTATTGCTATTGCAGACTGTGCCTGGCAGTCTGCTATGCATTTTACATGGAGTATCTCATTTAACTGTCTGAAAAATCGATGAAGTACCTACTTTATTTTCTCCATTTTACTGATAAGAAAACTGAAACTCAGTAAAAGGTGAATTTAACTAAGAGAGATAGCAGAATCTAGCTCTGTATGATGCCAGAGCCCATGTTTATCACAGTGCTAAACTGCCTCCCTGGGTGACTTACAAGGATTCTTCCAGGTCTATGATTCTGTCTCATAGTCATTTAGGAATGTCAGTTGTAGTTTATCAAACCCAAATGGCATCAAAAATTATAATGAGTTAAAAAAAAGAAATGTTACTGACTAAAACAGATCTCAGCACCAGCGGTTCAAATGTAAAGCTCTAGTGTAATAACAACATGATCCCTTGAAGTTTTCCCATTCATACAGGTAAATTGCTCAGGGTTCTTAGGAAAGTATATAATATGGATGAATCAATGTTTAGAAAAACTCCTGAGTTTGTCATTTCTCTTAGGTTTAGGCTACTGTGGTAGTGTCAAAGACATTCTGATGAGTGAAAGAAGCCAGTCTTGAAAGTTTATATACTTTATGCTTCCATTTTTAAGATATTTTGGAAAAGGCAAAACCTAGAGACAGAGAACAGATTATTGGTTAGCAGGGGTTAGGGGAAGCAGAAGGATTTGAATTTATAGGGGCACCATGTGGAAGTTTTTTGGGGTAATGGAACAGTTCAGTATCCTGATTATGGCAGTAGTTACATAAAACTACACATGCATTAAAACTCAGTCAATTTTATCGTTTGTAAATTTAAAAATAATTTTTAAAAGGGTATCTACCTATAGCAAATATCAATGTGTTCTTTGGTAGTGAAAGGCTAAAAACATTTCCTTTAAATCAGGAATGAGCCAAAGATATCCACTCTTAAAACTTAAACATTCTACTTGAATGTCTTAGCAATGCAATAAGATATGACAAAGAAATAATAAATAATAGTTACAAAGGCTTAGAAACATGTTTCGATTTGTAGGTCATATGGTTGTCTATTCAGAATATGCAAAAGAATATACAGAAAAATTATTAAGCTGTGCACAGTGGTGTGTGGCTGTAGTTCCAGCTACTCGGGAGGCATAGGCAAGAGGATCACTTGAGTCTGGGAGTTCTGTGCTATGCCAATCAGGTGTTCACACTAAGTTCACTATTGATACAGTGACCTCTCAGGAGCAGGGAACCACCAACTTGCTGAAGGAGAGGTGAAAGACCCCAGGTTGGAAACAAAGCAGGCCAAAACTCCTGTGATGATCATTAGTGGGATCATACCTGAGAATAATTACTACACTCCAGTATTCAGGGGCAACAGAGAGACCCCATATCTGAAAATTAAAAAAAAAAATTATTAGAATTAATAAGATAGTTTATTAAGATTGTGAAATAGAAATTCCATATATAAACAGAATTGCATTTCAGTATACCAGGAACAGACAAATAGCATCAATAGCAAAAGATGTATATTTATGTTAGAAATTAAAGGAACTATCAAAAGACCTTAAACACAACTTAAAGGTAATTTCCTTAGATTGGATAATTCATTATTTTAGAGGTGTTGATTCTCCCAAATTGATCTATATATTCCATGTAATTCCAATTAGAATTTCCAGAGTTTTTCATGATGCTTGACAAGCTGATTCTAAAATGATTATCAAAGAACAAAGGGATAAACAATCAACAAAATGAAGAGACAACCCACAAATTGTGATAAAATATTTGCTAACTACTCATCTGACAAGAGATTAATAAACAGAATATATAAGGAGCTCAAAGAACTCTATAGGAAAAAAATTGAATGATCCCCAAAAATGGGCAAAAGATTTGATAGGTATTTTTAAAAAGAAGACATACAAATGGCAAACAGACACATGAAAAGGTGCTCAACATCATTGATCATCAGTAAAAGGCAAATCACAAATACATGAAATATCATCTCACCCCAGTTAAAATGGCTGTTTTCCAAAAGACAAGCAATAACAAATGCCGAAGAGGATGTGGAGTACACTGTTGGTGGGAATGTAAATTAGTGCAATCACTATGGAGAACAATTTGGAAGTTCCTCAAAAAACTAAAAATAGAATTACCATATAATCCAGTAATCCCACTGCTGGGTATATACCAAAAAGAAAGGTAGTTAATATATTGAATAGGTGTCTGCAGAGTCCTGTGTCTGTTGCAGCACTGTTTAGCCAAGATTTGAAAGTAACTTAAGTGTCTATCAACAGATGCATGGATAAAGAAAATGTGGTACGTAAACACAATGGAGCTATAAAAAAAAGAGTAATAATAGCCTGTCATTTGAAACAACATGCATGGAACTGGAGGTCATTATGTTAAGTGAAATAAGCCAGGCACAGAAAGAAAAATATCATATGTTCTCATTTGTGGGATCAAAACAACTGAACTTATGTAGATAGAGATCAGGATGGTTATAAGAGGCTGGGAAGGGTACTGGGGAGGTGGGGATGGTTAGTGGGTACAGAAAAATAGAATGAATAAGACCTAGTATTTCATTACACAACAGGGTGACTATAATCAGTAATAAGTTAATGGCACATTTTAAAATAACCAAAAGAGTAGAATTGGATTGTTTATAACACAAAGGATAAATGCTTGAGGGGATGGTTACCCATTTTCTGTGACATGATTACTATGTATTACATGCCTTTATCAAAATATCTCATGTACCCTATGAATGTGTATACTAAAGGAACAAAGGTCTGAAAAGAGCCAAAACACAGAATGATGGATTTGAGGAGGGGAGTCTTGTCCTACTAGGTAGCCAGACTTATTACTGTATTTAAACTTCCATAAATATCCTTTGCACAACAATAGGCAAATAGACCAGTGATTAGATACTCCCTAAACAGACCTGTGCTTAATTTGGAAACCTTACATGTATCAGAGCTGGCATTACAGATCGTTAGTGAAAGGATGGTGTGTTCCATAAATGATATATGGTAACTGGGTGTCCTATGGGGGGAAAAAAAAATGATCTCTACTTCACATTTTACATGGATCAAAAACATAATATACAAAAGCCAAGACTTTAGAACTTTTTAGAAAGATACGCAAAACAGTATCTTTATAACTCAAAGTGGAAGGAACGTATTCTTAATATATTAAAAAAAATAAAATGTTTGGTTAGATTAAAATTAAGGACTTCTCTTTACCATTAGGCCATAAAAAATGAAAGACAAGCCACAAACTGGGAAAAAGATGTTATAACAGAACAACAGATATAACTGCCAAAGGTTTGATATCCAAAATAAAGGACAGGAAACTTAGGTGGGAAAGAAACGATTTTTTTAAATTTATATATGTATATTTTTCTAGTAATCAAGGAGATGCAAATTAAAGCCACAGTGAAATATCATTCACACCCATCAGGCAAAGATTTAAGAAAGTGACAATACTGGGGGATCCAAGATGGCCAATTAGGAGCAGCTCAGGATTGCAGCTCCCAGCGAAAGCCCAGAGGCTGCTGCAGGTGATCCCCAGGCAAACAGAGCCTGGAGTGGACCTCAGCAGTCCTACAGCAGAGGGGCCTGACTGGTAGAAGGAAAACTAAGGAACAGAAAGAAATAACTTCATCATCAACAAACTGGACGTCCACTCAGAGACCCAGTCTGAAAGCAACTACAAAGACAACAGGTGGATAAATCCACAAAAATGGGAAGAAACCAGCGCAAAAAGGATGAAAACACCTGAAACCAGAATGCTTCTCCTCCTACAAGGGATCACAACTCCTCACCAGCAAGGGAACAAGGCTGGATAGAGAATGAGTGTGATGAATTCACAGAATCAGGCTTCAGAAGGTGGGTAATAAGAAACTTCGCTGAGCTAAAAGAACATGTTCTAACCCATTGCAAAGAAACTAAGAACCTTGAAAAAAGATTTGATGAAATGCTAATAAGAATAAACAGAGAGGAATATAAGTGAATTGATGGAGCTGAAAAACACAACATGAGAACTTCACAAAGCATACACAACTTTCAACAGCCAAACTGACCAAGCAGAAGAAGGGATATCAGAGTTCGAAGATCAAATCAATGAAATAAAACAAGAAGGCAAGATTAGAGAAAAAAGGGTAAAAAGGAATGAACAAAGTCTCCAAGAAATACGGGACTATGTGAAAAGACCTCATCTACCTTTGATAGGTGTACCTGAATGTGACAGAGAGAATGAATCCAAGCTGGAGAATACTCTTCAGAATATCATCCAGGAAAACTTCCCCAACCTAGCAATACAGGCCAATATTCAAGTCCACGAAATACAGAGAATGCCACAAAGATATTCCTGAAGAAGAACAACCCCAAGGCACATAATCATCAGATTCACCAGGGTTGAAAGGAAAGAGAAAATGCTAAGGACAGCCAGAGAGAAAGGTCGGGTGACCCACAAAGGGAAGCCCATCAGACTCACAGCAGATCTTCAGCAGAAACCCTACAAGCCAGAAGAGAGTGGGGGCCAATATTCAACATCCTTAAAGAAAAGAACTTTCAACCCAGAATTTTATATCCAGCCAACTAAGCTTCCTAACTGAAAGAGAAATAAAATCCTTAATGAACAAGCAATTACTACGAGATTTCATCATCACCTGGCCTACTTACAAGAGCTCCTGAAAGAAGCACTAAACATAGAAAGGAACAACCAGTACCAGCCACTCCAGAAACATACCAAACGGTAAAGAGCATCGACACGATGAAGAATTACATCAACTAATGAGCAAAACAGGTAGCTAGCATCAAAATGGCAGGATCAAATTCACACATAACAATATTAACCCTAAATGTAAACGGGCTAAATGCCCCAATCAAAAGACACAGACTGGCAAACTGGATGAAAAGCCAAAACCCATCTGTGTGCTGTATCCAGGAAACCCACCTCACATGCAAGGATACATAAAGGCTCAAAATAAAAGGATGGAGGAAGATTTACCAAGCAAATGGAGAACAAAAAAAAAAAGCTGAAGTTGCAATTTTCGTCTCTGACAAAACAGACATTAAACAAACAAAGATCAAAAAGAGACAAAGGGCCGGGCGCGGTGGCTCAAGCCTGTAATCCCAGCACTTTGGGAGGCCGAGGCGGGTGGATCA